TCCATAGTTCATCAGGCTCTCTGTCTATCAGATCTAGTCCCTTAAATCTATTTCTCACTTCCACTGTATAGTCATAAGGGATTTGATTTAGGTCATACGTGAATGGTCTAGTGGTTTTCCCTACTTTCTTCACTTTAAGTCTGAATTTGGCAATAAGGAGTTCATGATCGAGCCACAGACAGTTCCCGGTCTTGTTTTTGCTGACTGTATAGAGCTTCTCCATCTTTGGCTGCAAAAAATATTATCAATCTGATTTCGGTGTCTTCTCTTGTGTTGTTGGAAGAGGGTGTTTGCTATGACCAGTGCATTCTTTTGGAAAAACTCTATTAGCCTTCTTCACTTTAAACTGACTTTTTAAACTAATCAAGAAGCCACTGGCTAACTATACATATAGTATTAACTGCACTTTATTTGGGAAGTGCCACTCTCGCTGCTTTGGGGCTTACCAAGGGAGTCATTTCATGAGAGGTTTTGTATAGAAAGAGCTTAATGGCTGGGTTGTCTCTGGACTTTCTACTCCCATCATATGAGGTGAAATGGTAGGAACCTTCTCCAGAGTAACTCAGTGGTCAAAAAGTTTTGAAGGAAGATGGCAGCTCCATCAGCAGTATTCTGATTTTCCAGCATACAGAATCCCAACCTTTATAACACCCCAATAAACATGACAACCACCCTGACAGCAAAGGAATACTTACACCTGTCTTTGTGGAGGACTTAAGGAAATGGTTCTGACAATTTCCCTTGATGATCTGAGTCTTAATCTATGACCTCAGCTGCGGCATTATCCAAGGGCAACCTCCCTTGCAATACAGAAATGTCATAAAAGAGGTACACCAAAATGAAGTTAATGGACATCTACATTGTTTAAAAAACAGAATAAAGTTTAAAAGAAGCACAGTATTCATGCCATATATAATTACTACTTTAATATAGTGTTATTTTGAGAACCGTAAGCCAGCCAAAAAGATATAGGTACAGATACAAACATTATGACTAGTTTCACCATTATCTTTGGAATCTATACAGTTATTACAACAGGAATGAATAACTTTTGGGACTGAATTCAGATAACACCACATTTAATCATGCATTTCCCTCATTATTCTCCTTCTTGCTGTGTGCAAATACAGAAAACATCAGATACACCAAAGGTGCAGTAGCATGAAACAGGACAGGGCAGGACCCCTGAGTCTGCAACCTCCACAAAGAGTTATATTATAGGAAGGACAGTCTTCCAGTCACCGGGGATAAATAATCATCAAAATGATGAACAGTTGTAGTATTTTCCTTTTTTTAACATAAAGAGTGACAATTTACTTAAATTAAAAAAAAAAAAACCCACGTCCACTGAAAATTCACACAGAGGTATTCACACAAAAATAATAATAGTTTAAATCAAAAGTATTGTGAGCCTGGTGGGGAGAGGATGAATTATTTCACTAATTACTATGCAGTATATTTTTAGCTTTAATTGTTTTTACCGCATTTCTCAAAGGACATGTTTCTTCCCGAAGCACAGTTGTTGAAGCAAACATTTCTCTTTATTGTTTCATAGGAAACAGGCAGAAGTCCCAACCAGGTACTGTGATTCTGTAAAATCAGCTGCAGGAGAATTTCGCTTAATTTATACTTTTGCCCTAAGCTGTGCCTTAGGATCTGCCTTATTTTTTTGTTTGAACTTGACAGAAAATAGTGTGTTAGAATGAAACAAGCTTAAAAAGATACGGGTACATTTCCCTTGCACCAATATTTTTCAGGCAAACTTACTGCTCTTCTCTTCCTTTTAAGAATGCCACCTGAAATCACGACACACTAATTCATTATTGAAGACAAAACATAATTTATTGGCTTGAATGTCCCTTGAAAGAACACGCCTTTTTAAAAAAAAATGACACTTCCTCAATTCAAAAATAATGCATGTTCATTATAAAACATCTGAAACACAAAGGAAAGAATAAAGAAAGAAATTAAAGCATAATCTCACTAACCAGAGATAAGCAGTATAAACATTTGGATAAACTGGCTTGCAGTGAAAAAAATATAATTCCTTATTAAATCTTTCAAAATGCTTTCTATTCCTTAATAAAAACTTCTTTTTCACAATCATAAGCTTTGTTGCAATTATTCCTATGGAGCTCATATTTCTTAAAATCTTTGGGAAAGAGAACTTGATGTTAACAGTTTAACATTTTCCCCTTATTGAATATTAAATAACAAGTCCTTAAGTCTAAAAGACTTTGCTTGATGACCAAATATACTTATGTAGAACACTATTCAAAAGGATAACTTTTAAAAATTAGGTCAGTTGCTTTAAGAATAATTTCGAACTAAACCTTGAGACAATCCAAGAAGGGTGCTTCAGTGAAATATATGCTTTGTTTGGTACACATATTTTAGAGCATGTCCCAAAGTGGAACTGTATCAGAAAATTCAGCCAAATGTGGGACACACTGTAGATGCATGGAAACTTCTTGAAAACACTTCTGTGAGCTCACATGGGGAGATTCTGAGGCTGTGTTTAGTTATCAGGTCTCCACTCCTTCCAGGTTAAACACATTTATTATCTGAGATCTTCTAGGGCAGACCTTCTTTTTGGGGGGGACGGGAAAGACCATCATGAAAATCAGAGTTGCAGTTTGGGTACCTAAAAGCAATACAGATGGCTGCTGGTAATGCAGAAATTAAATTTGAATCCCCCTTAAAATCATCTCTGGGGCTTCCCAGGTGGTACAGTGGTAAAGAATCTGCCTGCCAACACAGGAGATGTAAGAGACACAATTTTGATTCCTAGGTTGGGACAATCTTCTGCAGGTGGAAATGGCAATCCACTCCAGTATTCTTGCCTGGAAAATTCCATGGACAGGGGAGCCTGGTAGGCTATAGTCCATGGGGTTGCAAAGAGTCAGACATGACTGAACAGGCACGCAGTAAAATCATCTCTAAAGCCATGCATGGTATATTCTTTTCCAGTAGATGAATATAAAGAGAGTGTCAGGGCTGCTCATATTTAAAATTTCAAAACATTGAAAAATATACTATATATATATATATATATGTATATACATACCTTATTAACATATTCCCAACAGAGTAATCAAGTGAATTCTTACTCTTTTTTTTTATTTAACACAATTATCAGAGTATTTTACTTCTATACTCAAAAGTCTTTATATAAATCCTTTTAGATAATGGGAAGCCTAGACTGGGAAGAATTCATTGCAGTAAATATCCTATGTACGTACGAGAATATTTTTTACAACCAATTCCTACAGGTCTGTATATATGTATTTAACTGTGTCACTTCATTACATAATGTGTAGCAATGGAAATTTTTATAAGAAAACACCAAAAGTTAGAAGCAAAGTAGGCTTATAACAGACTCGAACAAAGAGCCAAAAGATTTGGAGTCCAAGGTCTATACCACCTCCAAGGAGATGTTCACTGTCAAGAGAAACAAGGCCTCTATATACTGGGAGGGGTGAGTGAAATAAACAAGGGCCTGAAAAGCACAGACACCCAGCTGCAGCTTACTTGAGGGCCGTTCTGTAGTGGTAGATGGCTTCCCTGTTCCGACCCTGGTCCTTCAGGAAATTGGCATAGTTGTAGTGAACCTTGGCATTGTGGGGCAGAGTTTGAACTCCAGACCTAAAAGTTAATAAATTAAAAAAAAAAAAAATGAGTAACAAAGAGTACTGCTTAGGAATGTTGCCAGTTTCTTTTATGTTTTAATCATGGATTTATGAACCTGTATTTGAAATGTTCATTGCATCCATCAAAGCCTCTTCCAAAACTTGCAGACCTTATGAATTACTAAACATGCTTCTGTGGAAAACAGTGAAGGCTCTGCACAGCTATGCACAAGTGAAATACACTAACTGCACGTGAAGCAGAGGAGCAGGAAGTGGTGACAGATGATTCTTTGGGGGAACAACCACGCATGCTCAGGTTAACTCAGCTTTTTCCTTTTTCCTTACTTCCTTCACTTATGGCCTTCCTCTTTTTTAAAAAAAATTGATATTGTCTATAAACATAAATCATTACAAGAAGGATAACTGTAGACTAGCCTCCTTAATAAGGTTTGTTGGAAATAAACATTTCCCACGTACAAAGCCAGGGCTAATTTTATTTAAAGACAGGTGTAATTATTAATAAATATTCTACAAGTTGCAGGTAAGGAAAGGAGGTTTGGCTCAGAAAAGTTAAAATCTTCTTAAGTGATGAGGGTATTAGTCTGCTCAGACTGGCAAAACAAAATACCCCGGGAGCCCCAGAGGGTAACACTGAAGTTTTGAAGGTGATACAAGAAGGAATATCTGTAGCCGCTTGTAACTGCATCACAAATTCACTTTGCACAAGATAAGCCTGGTAGTAAGTACCAAGCATGGGATTCTGACCCAAGGAATTTGCTTCTAGAGTGTCTGTTCCCTTACCTGCAAGGAGGTGGTGGCAGGGAAGTGATGAAGGTAGATGGGTTTGGGAGCTATCTGGGAAGAAAATTCCAGAACTTATGTGGGTTAAATGTGGGAGGGGAATAGGCTAAAGGTAAGAGGAAGGAGACAGAATGACAATCTAGTTTCTGGGCAATTGTACTTCAAATGCGGTACCTCTTCTAGGTGACATATTTTCATTTAATTTTTTCATTTATTTTCATTTAGTTTAAAGGTAAGAACACTAGGGAAATTCCATACAAAGTGTTAAATCTGTTAGCGAAATATGCCAGGGTATTGTGACCTTGTTGAACTTCTGTTGAAATAGCCATTTAATGTTATAAGTCAATAAAAATTGCTTTTAATTTTAAAATAAAGAAAAATGTGCAAAGGCAAACAAATAAATGAAAGAAAAAAAATTAACAGCCCCTTAGGAGAAGGCAATGGCACCCCACTCCAGTACTCTTGCCTAGAAAATCCCATGGATGAAGTAGCCTGGTAGGCTGCAGTCCATGGGGTCGTTAAGAGTTGGACAAGACTGAGCGACTTCACTCTCACTTTTCACTTTCAGGCATTGAAGAAATGGCAACCCACTCCAGTGTTCTGGGCTGGAGGATCCCAGGGGCGGGGGAGCCTGGGGGGCTGACGTCTATGGGGTCGCACAGAGTCGGACACGACTGAAGTGACTTAGCAGCAGCAGCAGCAGCAGGACCAGCAAAGACTATCTCACTTAAAATCCGCCGGCCGGCTCCTTGGGGAACTCTCCAGAGGACAGAACGTACAGGGAGTGTGTGAAGCTAGAGACCAAGCCAAGGGCAACATCCTGTGAAAGCAGCAGACTCCGCTTTATGCGGAACTGCTGAGGTGAGGTCAAATACATGGCCCTAGCTACCTCTTCCTGGCCCTGCACATTCCAGTGACTTATTCCACTATTCTTTCCCTTCCCAGCAAAAGGCAGGAAGTTGACTCTCTAGAGGCTTCCCAGGTGGCGCTAGTGGTAAAGAATCTGCTTGCCAATGCAGGAGATGTAAGAGACTTGGGTTCGATCCCTGAGTAGGGAAGACCCCTGGAGAAGGGCATGGCAACCCCTCCAGTATTCTTGCTTGGAGAATCCCATGAACAGAGGAGTCTGGTGGGCTACAGTCCAGGGGGTCGCAAAGAGTCGGACACTGAAGCAACTTAGCACGCATGCATGTTACTCTCTAGAGAACTGAATCAGAGATCCTGCATTCAGAAACAACAGATAACAGCTAGGACCAGTGGAGCTGGCCTCCAAAGTAGGTTAAGTGACAATATGCATTCTGGACGGTAGATCCTCCTAACCCTGTGGTATCCATGCAAAGCTCTGCACACTGGTAGCCAGGATTGGACTCTCAGGGAGGAGACTGGAGGAATCCTCTTACTGTAAGATGACTAACCCAAAACAAAAGACTTACAAACGCTGCCATTTGGGTGCTCCAGTGAAGTCATCGATCTCTTCAATTACCCCCACAGTGCAGCTCACTAGCTAACAAACAAAGCTAGAATTTTAGTATAACATTTCAAATGGACATTACCCAAAGTATATTTAGTCACAGGGCAGGACCAAGGTCAGAGTGATAGTGATGGCTTTTTAAAAATTTAATTTTTATACAGGAAAATGTCTGACTTTTCTCTCCAAAACTATATAGTGCATGGGACAGGGAGATTTTAAAGATAACTTTGATTTCAGCATAGATATAACTGTAATATTTATTGGAGTTGATCCTTCCCTCTGTGCAATTAGCATAGTCGCTTTGTTTCACCCAAGTTCAATCTGTGAAAACACGTCCTTGCAAAGCTGAGGGCATGTTCAAGGATGGCAGTAGGAAGTAGTAACATTTGTAGCAGGCAAACGGGTGTGGTTGGAGTAACTGAAATCCTGTGACTATACTGCTTTTCCCATTGTTATTTCCCATTGTTGTTTTTGACCTTTATGTTCTCTACGTAATCTTTTCCTGCTATGTTTTTCCAGTCTCTCATTTTACAATGAACAGTTTATGAAGAAAGAAAGATAAACTAGCCAAAGGCAAAACTTTCAGTGTCACTCTGAGTTGCCAGGTTGCCCCTCCTTCCCGGGCCAGCCTCCTCAGCTTGTTACCCAGACGCTGAGATTCAGTCGTCCCAACTGTCTTAACAGAATGTGCAGCCTTACACATACTTACTCCACAAGGGAATGTAGGATTCATAAGTTATGGCGCTGGATCTCAAACCCTATTAATGACTGCTGCTGCTGCTATTGTTTAGTTGCTAAGTCGTGTCTGACTCTGCGATCCCATGGACTGTAGCCTGCCAGGCTTCTCTCTCCATGGGATTTCCCAGGCAAGAACACTGGAGCAGATTGCCATTTCCTTCTCCAGGGGATCTTCCCAACCCAGGGATCGAACCCGAATCTCCTGCATCTCTTGCAATGGCAGGCGAATTCTTTACCACTGAGTCACAAGGGAAGCCCTATTAATAACCACAACAAGGATTGTGAATAAAAGTCTCCCTCTGAATGCAGGGTCTGTGTTCATGCACTTTGCATTTCTCCCTCACACCTCTCATTTGCAGAAGACTTGAAAAATACCAGAGATATCAAGCCACTTCTCTCAGGTACCTCTCCAAGTTTGTAGAAACATTTGTTTTGTTGATATTAATGGAACAATAGGTCAGGAAAAGCATCTCCAAATTCCTGATTAGAAAACAAACATTTTTAAAAAACAAGTAGTGTTCAGCCAGAGGTTAACAGGAAAGCAAAGTAAAAATTTGTGGTTCTCCTCGATTGTGACCCTATTTAACCTGAGGTTTCCACCACCACACTCAGGATGGCCAGTGCTTACGCAGGCTCATTTTAAATCAAGCACTGAGTTAAGCATCCACTTCCAAGGGCTATCTCCTTTCTTTCCTTCAACAATCTATCAGATGGGTAGAATACTGTACCTCCCATATTGTAGATGAGGAAATTGAGGCTCAGAGAGATGAAGACCATTTTCTAAGGTTACAGACTGAGTAAACAGTTGAGCAGAGATTTCAACCAAGGCCAATATATGGTCAGAATCATTCCTGAAGTTGGTTAATATTGGATAAACTAAAAAGGTACCACAAGATACTAGGTATATTAGAATGTCACTGTGACTATGTTTATATCATTGATAAATAAACTACGGCCTGATGGGCCACAGACACATCCACAGGTTTACCCTTTTACAAAAATGTTTTTGGCCTCTTTCCCGAGGTAGCAACATAGTAGCTGTAAAAGAGACTAGAGGACCCACAAAGCCTCAAATATTTATAGTCTGGCTTTTACAAAGGAATCTGCCAATCTCTGGTTTCTGTTCTCTGCCCTGGGAGGTCTGCTTATCTTTCTGGCTCAGCAATTCCAGAGGAAGAAAAAGAAATGTGTTTTCTACAGAAAGGGAGGAAGATCTAGGCCATAAATTCTTAAGGGTGGTCCATGGATCATTTAAACAGTTCATGAATGGGATTCAGAGAGACCCCAAACTGGATGCAAAACAAAATATGCTATCTTTGTCATTCGAGGTATTTTGAAGATTTGGGGGACAGGAAGAAAATATTTAATCAAATTGTGTTATTTTGGTACAATTTCCTGCAAACACGCATGAGTCTGGGGTATCACTCAGTTCAGCTGGATGTACGCAGTTTCTATCTCCTTAGATTAGAGAGCAGAATAATTTCCTGTTCTAAGAGATTAAAGAAAATGTACCTTGCAACTATGATTACAAATAAATATCTCTCACTCCGTCTCCGTCTGTCTCTCTCTCTGTCTGTCTGTCTCTGTTTACACTGGGCTGAGATTAAGCTAGACAACATAAAGCAAACTATAGGTGTGGTGAAGTATATACATTCTTTGGCTTTTACATTAGATTTGGGTTCAAATCCTGGCTCTGCCTTTTCACAGCTAGTCTGGCTTGGACAAACTATTCTCTTTCTGAGCCCCTGGTGAGACACAAGTACTGAATTCTTATGCTTTTGTNTGTGGTGAAGTATATACATTCTTTGGCTTTTACATTAGATTTGGGTTCAAATCCTGGCTCTGCCTTTTCACAGCTAGTCTGGCTTGGACAAACTACTCTCTCTCTGAGCCCCTGGTGAGACACAAGTACTGGATTCTTATGCTTTTTTGTGAGAGGTTTTCAAGAATAGATGTACAAACATGTGAGGCGACTTTGCATTGGTATCTCCTAAAAATACATCATTCAGTGCCATCTTTTTTGTGGGAGGAGGCCTTAGCTGGAAACACTGGGACTTGACTGAAATTTGGATTTTCTCTAACACAAAGGTCTGTCCTAAAATATTCTGTAAGATTGCTCATAGTATTGCCAAGCAAAACCACTCCATATAATTAGAGAGCTCTTGAGACCATATGACCTAGGATGGTCAATGAGTTTATAGTTTGGAACAGAGGAGAAAACAGAATCAGGACCTCTGTAAGGACATCAGCTTATCTAGAACTTTTTCTTACTCAGTGGGCCAGCTCTTGGTTTTGACCACTGCAGCTACTTTAGGTTTTCCTCATCCTACCATACCGAGCTCAGGCCCACAGGGGAACAGCCCTTGAAGGCCTGGGTTGATTACAGTCACCTGCCTGCACTTACACAGTGTCCTGCCCTTCCTCTTGTCTACCACCTGCTTTGTTGTTGTTTAGCCGCTAAGTTGTGTCCAACTGTTTGCGACCCCATGAATTGTAGCCCGCCAGGCTCCTCTGTCCATGGGATTGCCCAGGCAGGAATACTGGAGTGGGCTGCCATTTCCTTCTCCAGGGGATCTTCCTGACCCAGGGATTGAACCCATATCTCCTGCATTGGCAGGTGGACTTTTACCACTGAGCCACCAGGGAAGACCCTACCACCTGCTACATTATATTAAAATGTGTTCACGCATCTGACTCCCATCCAGACTTCAGGCTCCTCTAGTCTCTCCCCCAACCCACTTCTCGCTCATGTCCTAGAACACAGTGCAGAGTAATAATCTTACATAGTGTTTATCATACTTCTCTGGGCATCTTTAACACACTCTTTTATTCTTATAAATACAGCAGAAGGTGCACATGCGTACTAAGTCATTTCAGTCGTGTCTGACTCTTTGTGACCCTATGGATTGTAGCCCACCAGGCTCCTCTGTCCATGGGTTTCTCCAGGCAGGAATACTGGTGTGGGGTGCCATGCCCTCCTCCCGGGGATCTTCTCTGGGGGGATGTTCTTGGACATCTTCCCTAGGGATCAAACCACCCACCTCTCTTATGTCTCCTGCATTGGCACATGGGTTCTTTAGCACCAGTGCCACCTGGGAAGCCCCTACCAGAAGACAGACACTATCATTATTCTAAATTTTTAAAAATTTATTTAAAAAAAATTTTTAAATGAAATTTAGATGATTTACAATGTTGTGTTAGTTTCAGGTGTACAGCAAAATGATTCAGGCCATTTTCTTCTCCAGAGGATCTTCCCAACCCAGGGATCAAACCCACATCTCCTGTGTCCCCTGCATTGTAGGCTGCAGATTGTTTACCCGCTAAGCCATTAGGGAAGCCATATATATGTGTGTGTGTGTGTGTGTATACATATTTNATATATATGTGTGTGTGTGTGTGTGTGTGTGTGTGTGTGTGTGTATACATATATAATTATGGTTTATCACAAGATATTGAATAAATATATTGAATAGTTCCCTGTGCTATACAGTAGATCCTCGCTGATTATCTGTTTCACATAAAGAAGTGTATATATGTTAATCCCAAATTCTTAAATTTTAAAATAAAGGAAGTAAGGCATGAAGTGGTTGAGTAACTCACCCGTGATCACATAGCTATTAAACAGTGGAACTTGGAGCAAAGCCAAAAAGCCTAATTCCGTACTCCACACCAACCAGTAATCCTATCATGACTCAAAGATTCCTGGTAAATGTTCAACTAATTTGAACATTGTTCAGGAAAGGTGAATATATACAAACATCTGATCTTAAAGGAAAAAGAAAAAACTTAAAGTCTCAGATTCTTAAAATTTTCTCAGAATATAATAAATTACAATAGGTAAAGTTTTCTAAAACCTATTGATAGCTTTGATTTGCATATTACACAAAACTCCATTTGATCACCAAAGGCATCTCAGACACAAAGTTTCTTTACGTACATATGTGGAGTGTTTTAGTAATCAAGTGCTAACTTCCTACACGCTCCCATCTAAAAAACCAGAAGCCTCTGCACGCAAGGTCAATGAGTGTTTTGCTCTTTTGCTTTCCCTTTTTTAAAATTGCTAGCATCAATTGTATAGGGATTGAACACTAACTTGTTATCCTTGAGATAAACTACTGTCTGCCAGAATTCATCCCCAGAGTTGCTCTGATTAAGCAGTAAACATCATTATAAAATGTAATCACTCTTAGTACTTATACTCAAGAAGGTTTAACACAGGGCAGAACCATTTAAACATTTCTCATAAAATCACTGACTACTGAAAGTGAAAGAAAAAATGAATTAACAGAAACCAGGAGGAAGTTATATTCCTGAACTTCCATGCCCTTGTGTTTACAGAATGACCTCAGCACTGGGCAGTAAGAGGGAACGAGTTCACTGTCATCTGTAAGCACTGCATTGAAGTCAGGGGTGTGACAGGAACAGAACAGGCTCTGCAGCCTAAAAATGAAAAACAATTCACAAAAAACACAAAAAACACAGAAAACAAAAACAAAACACAGAAAACACAAAAAACACAGCAACAGGTCCCTACAGGACCCATGGAAATAATGATGGTGACAATGATAATGACAATGAGAATAAATGACATGTAATAATAAATAAAGACATACATGCCAAATTACATTTTTTTCTATTAAAAAAGTTAAACTGCCAAGTAGCAAAATCAGATATATTGTTTTAAGTGGACTTCCTGTGGAGAATTCCCTTTTGCTGTGTTATCTCAGAGGAAGCCCAGGGGCTCTTCCTGCCCTAACTTCCCCGCGCCACCCCCCATGGAAGTCAGAGGAGAGTTTTTGACCAGTTCTGTCATCTCAGTGCCCTGATGGGGGACAAAGGGCAGGCACATGACCTAAGTTCAGACTCAGTTAGAAGACTTTATCTTCCCGGGACTGTGATGTAAAGAGAGAAAACTGGGGTAGGTTTACCCTGCATTCATTCCTTTGCAAGTTTTCACGTCCCCTCAAAACAGACTATTCAGACAACCAATCTGCTACACACCAGTTTCCTCACTTGCTCCCCAATTCTGGGTGCTCCCCTATGTTCTTCCTATATTTTCTTGTTTTAAAAAGTAATCCCGACTCTTCATTCATTCATTTACCCTCCATTCACTTCTTTGCAAGTTTTCAGGTCCCCTCAAGACAGACTCTTCAACCAGTCTGCTACACACTTTCAGTTGTTTGCCTCCAAAGAATAAGTGTAGGGTACTAGGTGGTCAGGGAACCAAATAAAACCACATTGACTGAACTGGCCAACTGGGCCACAAGTAAGGACAGAAGCTGGAGGCAGGCAAAAACTAGGAACTCCTAGAGACTGGGAAATACTCCTGGGAGGTCAGGTGTGGCTGAGCCAGGAGCCCAGGTGAAGGTTTCCAGGGCTGTGGCATCAGTGAGACAAATCAAGTCCAGAAACACAGCATGATGAGTGACCCAAAGGATGTTTATAGTTTACAAAATTTAGGACATTGTTATATTGGTGGCTCAGATGGTAAAGAATCTGGCTGCATTGCAGGAGACCAGGGTTCAGTCCCTGGGTTGGGAAGATCCCCTGGAAAAGGGAATGGCTACCCACTCCAATATTCTTGGCTGGAGAATATCTTGAACAGAGGAGCCTGGCAGGCTACAGTCAATGGCAACAGTCAATGGTTGTAAAGAGGCAGACACGACTGAGTGACTAACACTTCACTATATTCTGAAACAGCTTCTACACCATATGAAAACCTACCAGGAGATGAGAAACCATTTCCTGTTCACAATTAATGTTCAAAATAAAGCAACTAGATCACAGATCATGACTTAATGTCCTGAAACATTTTAAAGAAAATGTACTGCATTTCTCTTCCTTCTTGCTATGCACTCACCTTTCCCATTCACTCAGCTGAACAATGGAATTAGACTTATTGTTTCATTTTGTTTATAGCTGATTTTACAGCCCAGCTTATCATTAAGACTTTCCATCTCAATTCACAGACCTCCCCAAAGCTTCCCGTGATCCTTATTTTCATCAATTCGGTTAGAATGAGCTCCCATAAAACTTTATATACTATTAAAAAAAAAACCTGAAGTTAAAACCCCAAATAAAAGGACACCTTCCATTTATAACTTCATTGAAAAACAGTTCTGGAGTAGTAAATATCACCAGATCCATGTCACCTGGTTTGTTTGGAAACAAATACATAAGCAAAGACATAAAGGGGAAGAGATTCACTTTTATCCCGCTAGTCATACCTGAATAGGGACTCTCTCGACAGCCAAATTTCATTCTGTTTCACGGTTTTCCAGGAGAAAAGCAGCAGGAGCAGCACCGTGGACACGCTCAGGGTGGTGGCGCCACAACGATTCAGCCACGCGCACAGCTTGCTCAGTCCGTGCACGAAAAGAATGCAGTAGCCCATGCTGGAAAAGAAAGTGGAGAAGCAGGTGGGTCTGAGAGTGTGACGGAGGCCTCTGAGCATTCCATCCCATGCAACTAACTTTCAAACAGAGCCTGTGCTATGATAGAAAAACAGACATAACCTCCCTGGTCAGATACAACATTTCCACGTCAATGCTCCAGTGGGCTCCACCAGCACATTTGCTAGTTCTCTGCCCGAGTGTGGAGAACCACAGGTTCATCTTGTAGGCTCCCGCTCCTAGATTTCATCAGCTCATGCATCCAGAAAAGTCCATCCTGTATGCTCTTGGGTCTTGACTGGACCCTCTAGTCCAATCTCCTCGTGCTCCTAACATTGTATAGCCCTTCGGGCGCCATGTTTCAAGTTTGGGCCCTGAGGCTGGAGAGACCCAGTCCCCGAGGGACTCTCAGAGCCTGAGGGGGGTTCTGGTCACTAACGAGCACTGGGTTTGGTCTCCAGAAAATGCGGCCTGGTAAGTCCCCACTCTGGCCAAAGTCCTATAGCCTTCCTTCCTGTGGGAAGGAAAACCCTCCCACAGGCCAGCTCTAGAGCCTGGCAGTTTGGAGCTCATCATGGACAAGCTTCATTGATCTGATTCTCATGCTGACTATGTGGCCTGGCTTTCCCAAGAGAAAAGAAGAATCCTAGAGTGGGACTCTGGCACATTGCTGTCACATCTCTGAAAGCTTCGGCCTGGTGGATGGAACATGATCCCTCCCATCATCTATGCACCCGAAGAGAGGCTTCCTGCCTACTGACTGGCCTCAGAAAAACACAGACATTTAGCTTGTACATTTCAGTCAATACTCATTGTTTTCCTAAGATGACAATATAAATTATTACAGAATATTTTAACAATGAAGGGAGCTTGTATAAAGAAATCCTATATGAGTCAGACACTAATACTATAAGAAGCCCTAGATCAATACAACTCATTTACTTGGCTCAATTATTTATTTGTTCTGTCACTAGTATATGACAGGCAGTATGCTGGGCACTAAAAATACAATTATAGGTAAAACACAGAATATGTACCTCCTACAGTTACAAGCATCAAGAACATATCAGTGGATAACGCAATCATTCCTCTCCTCCTGGAACTCACATGGAAGGAAAAAATAGCCAAGAGGCAAGTAAAACACAGAACAGAACACACAGGATACAATACGTTAAGCAGAGAAGAATCAAGTAGGAAAGAGAAGGCAGGAGACCAGGCTGGGGGGGAGATGAGCTGTTCATAGGGATGCTTAGGGAAGGCCTCACTGAAAAGGTGACATGAGGACCAGGTGCTGAAATGCAGGAGGTGCACTCTGAAGGCACCCATGTCCCCAAGACCAGCTGTCTTCTCCCCCTGCCTTCATAAAGCAGCACCACAGAGGCCCAATATTTATTGAGCACATCTGATGTGCTGAGCACATTCTTGGCAGGAACTCAGCTCATCCTCACATCCCTAGGGTTCACTGTTAGCAGCGCTGAATTCCTGATACCGAAGAAGAGAGACAAAGACATTTGCTGAACTTGGTCACGCAGCTCATGCACAAAACCCCAGGGATTCTGGATTCCAGCATCCACACTCCATCTACTGTCCTGACACTGGGGTTCTGCCTTGACTGGTGGATGCCTGTGTTCCTCACACCTCATCACATAGCTTTGCCTACTCCCTTCCCAAGCACTCCATTCACGAAATCTCAATGGTTGTTAACCGTTTCCTTGTGGGAAACAGAGCTGCCAGCGGTGGGGAAGGGAAACACCGGGATCCCAACAACTCCAGGGGAACGTGGCAGAAGACAAGGATGACTGAGATAACGGCAGCCAAATGAACTATTTTATACATTTGCACTCTTGTTGAGTGTTCCCTACACGTCAGGTGCTGTGCTAAGAGCTTTATGTGGACCTGTCCACAATATCTGTGGGGCTTGGAACAAGGATAGTACTGGCTTTAAATATATTATCTAACTAAAAAACCTAACCTTCAGTATCTTCGACTTCATAAATGAGGAAACTAAAGCTTTCATTGTTGTTGTTCAGTTGCTAAGTTGTGTCTGACTCTTTGCAACTCCATGGACTGCAGCACACCAGACTTCCCTGTCCTTCACTATCTCCCAGAGTTTGCTCAAACTTATGTCCTATGAGTTGATGATGCCATCCAACCATCTCGTCCTCTGTTGTCCCCTTCTCCTTCTGCCCTCAGTCTTTCCAAGCATCAGGGTCTTTCCCAATCAGTCGGCTCTTCACATCAGGTGGCCAAAGTATTGGAGCATCAGCTTCAACATCAGTCCTTCCAATGAAAATTTAGGGTTGATTTCTTTTAGGATTGACCGGTTTGATCTCCTTGCTGTTGAAGGGACTCTCAAGAGTCCTAGAGAATTTAAATAACTTGCCCACAGCTCCAAAAGCTAGGAATAGAGTCAGATCAGAGGTCCCACGGCCCTAACATTCTGTTGTAATTCAGGAGTTGGCACACTTTTTCTTTAAGGGGCCAGAGAGTATATTTCAGGCCATATGGCCTCTGTCCTTCCTACTCAACTCTACGTAGCAGGAAAGCAGCCATCGACACTTATGTAAACGAATGAGCATGGCTGTGTTCCAAAAAAATATATTTATAATAACAGGCGGTTGGCCAGATTCCACTCTCAGGCCTGTCGTTGAGACCTGCTACAGCCAACACGAAGGGGAACAGCACTCCTTCCACTCAGCACAGGCCTTGGGATCAAGTAACACAGTCATTTTCTTTTCAGAAGTCCTTGTGTTGACATATGGTTTAAAGAAATGTTAAGCCATATAAAATAATCTCCATTTAGGTTTGCAAATTTCTTAGAGGATATCACATTCTTAAGAACTTGAACACAATATCAGAGATTAAGATGCTTCTCTGTTATGACATTTCATCTTTCAACATCTGCTTTACGGCAGCTCTCAGCTGCAGGGGGTACGACTGCTCTCTTCATTGCTGGGGCAGTGCAAGCCCTCATTCTGAAACTGGAAAAATCAAGCAAATGAGAAACTACATACTTTTCTGGCCTCCAGGCAAATGAAACCAGACTCCAGTTTGGTCCAGTTAACCTGTTGAAGGAAAATGTGGACTCTGACTAGAGATGGCCACAGAGAGCTCAAAGGAGTCAGTGCAAACCATTGACAGCTGACAACATCATAACCTGGAGAACCAAGAACCCAACTGGCTGCGGAAAGGCTTAGCTCAGTACAGAGAGGCATTTTCAAAGCAAGCTTGAGAAGCACCGTGACTGTCCCAGAGAAGACAGCATAGAAATGCTCTCTCATTCACAGGCCACAGGTATCTCCAATTTTGAATGGATTTTATTGACAAGCCACTCAGCATGCAGCACTTGTAGTAAGGAAAGAAATTTGCATCTCTCCCTTAAAAGATGCAAATCCAAAGAGAGCTGAATAGGAAATAGGAAGCAACAATGTCTGTCCTTTCAAATTAGAATAAAAAAAATGTTTACACCAGTTGTTTGAGAACTTTGTGAGCAGTTAATCATCCTGTAAATAGTACAAATGTACTTTCAGGAACCTTAAGTGAAAGAAGTTCTTAAGTGATAAAAGAACATTTTCCCTTCCCATTTACATCAACCTGGAGAGATGACAGTTCTCTATGATTGGGCCAAACATTTAATGAAATTTGCTTTAGCTTCACTTTTTGTTTAATTATATGCAGCAAAGAGAATCTTTATGCTGTTAAGGTAGAACTGAAATTCTACCTTTTAACTTAACAAGCTCAAATTACCCACTGGGTGTACCTATAAGTAGCATTAATGATACAAGACAGACACATTCTTCCTATTTTATTACTCTAAAGAAGTCCCAACTTTAGACAGTTTAAATGAAACACATCCCTGATTAACTTCAAACTGATCTGTTGAATCCCTGTCTGGAAAATTATTTGGCCTTAAGATCTTATTTTGGTCTCACGAATGCTGACCCCAACAACAAAGCCCTGGCACCTTAGACCCAAAACAAGTGTTTGATGCTCTAGCAAAGGAAGCACCAGGAGTCAATGGGGGCTCCTCAGATCAGATTGAATCCAGAAGCTGGAAGTTCTGTGAGCCCAGACTCATCAGTGTCCCTATTTATTGCCACTTCATTTATTATCTCAAACACTTGATGGATGGGGAAATATCCCAAAAGATGGAATGCATCTGGAGGTGAAAGTTTACTCATAGTCTAGAGAAAGGCATCTATTGTGTATTTCCTTAGCTCCGCATCCCAGGGGTGCTGGGATAGGTATTGAGAAACTTCTTAATGTTCATTCTGTCACCTCCATTGGCTTTGTTCATAGTAATGTCTCCTAAGGCCCACTTGACTTCACACTGCAGGATGTCCGGCTCTAGGCCAGTGACCACACCACTGCGGCTATCTGGGTCATTAAGACCTTTCTTATATAATTCTGTGTACCCTTGCCACCTCTTCTTAATCTCTTCTGCTTCTCTTAGGTCCTTACTGTTTCTGACCTTTATCGTGCCCATCCTTGTATGAAATGTTCCCTTGATATCTTCAATTTTATTGACAAACATATCCATAACTGAGTGTTGTTTCTGCTTTGGCCCAGCTGCTTCATTCTTTCTAGAGCTATTAGTAATTGCCCTCTGCTTTTCCCCAGTAGCATACTGGACACCTTCCAACCTAGGGGCAGGGGCTCATCTTCAGTGTCATATCTTTTTGCCTTTTCATTCTGTTCATTGGGTTCTCGCGGCACAAATATTGGAGTGGATTACCATTTCCTTCTCCAGTGGACCATGTTTTGTCAGAACTCTGGATTATGACCCATTTGTCTTGGGTGGGCCTGCACAGCATGCCTCCTAGCTTTGCTGAGTTGCGCATGCCCCTTCGCCATGACAAGGCTTTGATCCATGAAGCGAAGTTGTTTGTACTACAATCACCTTGAAAGGCTGTTGCACACAGTAAATGAAATAACACATGGATGTGTTTTCTGAACTGCATACAGGTATCAGTGTTCTCAAGGACAATGTCTATGTGTTCATG